TATCAAACACTCGCCGTGTTTATAATTAACTTTTAAATATTATTTTTCAAAAGATATGAAATCATGATATCTTATATCGTAATTGGTACACAAAACGTAAAGTAACTCTTTTAATCAGTTTCACTTGTACACACATAACGATACATAATTCTCTTAAAAAAAAAAAAACGTTTGTAAGTTTTCAGCTAATCCCGTTAAGCTTAATCCACAAACAAACAAAAACTTTGTTTTGGCTTTAAAATTTTGTAGGCCTGAAAATCAAACAAAAATTAAACTCTAAGATAACAAATATATTACATTAAACAAAAAGTATCTCCAAGCGGGTGTCTTTTCTGTGGTTCTTCCATTTTCATAAAGTACTAACCTCGCTCCTCCCTGAAAAGCGGCGAGAGTAGGGCGCCCACGATGTCCAGGAAGGAGGCGGTCAAATTGAGGATGGCCAGGCGCCGGGCCTCGCGCTCCGCCGTCCTCATAATGCCACGCCCCCACTCGTCCGTGGACTCGTGAATGGAGTTGAACAATGTGGACAGCTGGTCCAGGAACTCCTCGAACTGGACTCGTTTGACTATGACCAACCAGGTGCGCATCAGGGCGTTGAAGATGGCCGAGAAAAAGAACATGTTGAGGATGAAGGCGGGCAGGTCGCCCCACATGCGCAGCAGGAAGACGAACTGCATCAGGTTCATGGCAGTCACGGGCAGGACGAAGGCGAACTTCCGCCAGTTCCTGCCCGGAGTGGGGTACAGCACGGCCAAGTGCCGCCACATCCGCACGTTGATGCCCACCAGGCCGATGTCCTCGATTGCCATTTCTCCGTATTTTTGACTAAGCTGATTCCACTTCCAGATCCACTCCAGACTGTGCCGCAAAGTGCTGAGCAAATGTCTTTTATTTCGCACCAATTGTCGCCACCGAGGAAGGCAATCTGTGGGGTAGCGATTGACATATAAATGGATCTAGGAATGGGAATGGGATTGAAATGGAAGTGGCAAATGGGAAATGGAAAATGGTAAATGGGAAATGGGTAATTGGAGTGGGAACTGAAGCCATTTGGCAACTGCCGTTGCGCAGCCTATAATTTAGCTAATTGGCTAATGATGAGTGTAATGTAATTGAAGTGCGATTGCGACTGCCATTCCCATAGGACTTAAGATTGGGCTGATGGGATGGTCTGGCAAAGAGATTTGCATTTGAAATGTCATTTTATGGCGCCAACAGAATTATCTAATATTCCAAGGTTAAAAGAACTATTATAATTTCCATTTTTGGTTTTCGGGCCCCAGAGCAACATTCATTATAATTAGTCAACATAATTTTTGCTGAAATCCCAGCTCAGGAGCGTATATTTTATATCATTGAAAACCACATGTTCTATTATGCAACTTAAATGTCAGCATGTCATAATGACTATTATAGTCACTATCAATTTATCCAGGTTTATTATTATTTATATTTACATACAATAACCAAATTTAAAGTTTTGACATTTAAAAACTTTTCTGAGCAATAAGTTTGAAACAAAATGAAATTAGTTCTAAAACATTCAAAAAAAATTCAGAGGCAGAGTTTTGAATTCGTTATTACTAGATTTTTAGGACCCGACATTTCAATAAATTTTAATATCAATGTTGTCACGCTTTTATTATATTGTATGTATTCAATAGCTTTGAAGCTATTTAATAAATTGTCATAATTCTTTTAATGTATTCAAAAAGTTCTAACAATATATGTAAAATATGAGTCCATTTCGTGTGGGACTCAAAACTTATTCTTAAATCTGCAAATCTGTATGACATTTTGTGCAATTTTGTTCAAAAATACTTATACTACTAGTTGTTAAACAGTAAGGAAGCATGGACTCATTAATAAAACCCAACCCATTTACCTAATTTAAACCTTTTCCTATCATTTGTAAATGAAAATGTTCTATAAAATGTTAAAAATTTTCTTAAAGTCGCCCCACAAGCTAATAAGAGTTTTAGGTAAATTTCTATATTCAAGAAAAGTTTGCAGCTTTTCTTTTTAAGTCCTTAGTCCTACAACTGCAGTTATTCGAAAAAAACCGAACAGTGCAAAGGACTTTGCATAATAAAAAGCCATTCCAGTAAGACAAATAATTTTGGATTCAAATAAAATAGTTTGTAGTAGAACCCCAAGTACAATGCTTTTTCTCAACAATAAATTCCAGGGGCTTCAATTTTGTCCCAGTACGAAATGAGTCATCCAAACATTCTCTTTAAATTAAAGCTCTCGCTGTGGCAACATGTAAATCCCCATTTAATTTGGCCATCGATTTCGCCACGCTCCTCCGAGCCCATGCCAGAAATCCCCGACCAAAAAAAGGTCTTCCATGCTCCGACGCACAGGCAGTCAAAACGCCAACGAGCCGCTAACGTATTCGGTCAGACACTCTGGGAAAATTGCGCGGGAGGGCGGACAGGTTGGACAGTCTGGAGCGATAGCCGGCATGACTTATTAAACAATAAAACCGGATTATCCGCAAACAACTGAGCAAACATGCCAGAGCCAAATATTTTGGCCCGTTCGCTTATCAGGCAACCGGTCGAGAGGACAACCGAAAGTCCAGGAAGTCCAGTTCAGACACAAAAAAAAACAATATAAAAATCAACAAGCGACCGACTGGCATAACATAATTCAGCAACAATGCTGGCTCAGCAAATACGGCAAAGGAATTAAAATGGGAGCAGGACAAGGACCACGAAGCCACCAAGCCACCAAGCCAAAAAGGAGTCCAATGCCAATGCCAATGCCAAGCCCATAAAGGCACACATTATGGCCACTTAACCGCGCGTTATGCCGCAAAAAGTCGAAAGGACAAAGCCGAACGGCAAAGAAGGTTGGGCACTGGCGGCGTATGCGCAATATTTTGTGCAAACATGCTCGGCAGAGTAACTAGGCGCGGGGGGAGAGAGGGGAACGGCAGTGGGAGGACAAATATGCAATGTCAGTTACAGCTGCCCCATTTGGTTGCTCATACGCAGCGTTGCACATAAATCAACTGGGCAGGCAAACCTTTTGTGCACTTTCACACTGAACCAAATCCAAGAACTGCAAAAAAGGATATTATGTGAAATTTATAAGCCTTTAGTTTATATTATTGAAAAATATTTACTGATATTATATATAATAAACTTATTGAATATTTTCGGTGTAAGTTAGTTATTGTCTTTAAGTTTAAATAACAATTGAACTTTTAAATATGGATTAATAGTCTCCAAGTGTACTCTTTAGGTGATTACCTTGGCAGCAGCCATTTTCGAAGCACAATTTATTGTAAATTAAAATGCTAAACAGGGCAAATGAGGACATTTAATTATCACATGCTAGTGAGGATCTTAGTCGAGCCTTGGGTTAGTCTGGAAACGGCCATTACACACACGCAGACATCAAAGGGATAAGGACGCAGTGGAGTGCCTGTTAACCCCGTAAACCACACGATGACATTAATTACGGACCCGAGAAAGGACTGGCATTGGCACTACCAGAGGCCACAGCATAGAAAGCAGGCCGAGGACTGGGGAAAGGTTCCTCGGATGCCACCCAGGCTGTATAAAATTAATATCGAGTAATTAACAGGGCAGGATGTTGTGATTTAAGCAGGACCCTCGATACACTCAATGGGTTGGGTGTGCCAATATTGACTTTGCCACATTCCCACTGCCATTTACCGGCTCCACTTAGCCCGCTTAAGCGGCTTCTTGCCAATTAGGCAGCTCACCACGCTGATCCGGGAGTTGGCCTTTAAAGTGCGGAATTGCTTTCGGCCTAAGCCCGGACTTCTTTATTGTTACCAGGGTTCCTGCTCCTCTGGCATCAGCTGGTTTGGGCCTTAGTCTTCGCCCTGCCTACACAAGCATGCCAAATGCGGCTTAGTTTTTGTTAACGATTCGCAAACATGTGTGTCACCCAAGCACAATCCCCAGCCCCGATCCACCCCCAATCCAGTCCACAGCCAGCAAAAATGCGGAATTCGCTTTGATGGCATCTGGGCATGCGAGCTCTCTTTGGGCCAAGTCGTCACTTATTGACTGACTCGTGTGGGATGTACAGCGCCCATACAAGATGTATGAGTAAACCGCCGTAGGAAAATGAGAATCGTTTGTTTGCGGATAATAAAGCATCGCAAAGAATGTGAACCGCACCAGCGCAAAAAGATATGTGTACCCGGGGATCTCTGGGGGAATTAAGTGTACGATAACCACTTCGGATGACGATTCACACAACGGTACAGGCCGGTGGGAACTCCGGCGATCGAGTGAATAATGCAATCGTATTAATAAGCCAATTGAGGTCGAACAATCGCAAGCCGTATATAAGCTTTCATTTATCTGGCCAATATTAAAATACACCGTGGGTATGTATACACGTACAGTGGATATCAAAACTACCAAACTGTTTAACTCAGAACAAGAGGAATTGTGTTTTAATTTATACAAAATTTGAACAGCTTGTCACAATCAATACTTCTTCAAAAATAGTATTTTCGGTATTACCAAATAAATTTATAGTAGTGGAATCATTGGTCCCACTGTACTTTTCTCTCAAATCTATATTTAAACATTAAAAAGAGTGTTTCACTGATTTCATAGCATGACTTGATTAGATGTGGGCACATTTTCCACTGAACATATTAATTTTTTATCTCCGCGTTCTTTCGAAGGTCAAAGCTAATGTTCTATGGCAGAGTGCTACCTATTCATAGGTTTATTTGTATTATTCAGCACAGTTCCAGATGACTCCCTAACGTCACGTTTGTTCAGGTTTTCAGTTTCGGTTTTGCTTCATCAAAAAGTAATTTAAATAATAAATATAATTATACCTTTTCTTGTGCCTGTCAATATTAGTCATGTAACGTAGATTTATGGAACTCCCTAACTTATAGTATAGTTTCTTAACTGGCCAGTTTTAATTGCGAAATAGAATTCTTATGAAGGGCAGCCCTGCTATACACATAAAGAAATGAATAAAACATAGTTAAATTTTCATTCTTATCCTTCATTGGACGAGGTATAAATCACTTTTATTAGTCAAATTATGACTAAGATGATTGCTTGTGGCCTACCGTGGATAAGTGTTTGACTAAGTCTAAAGTTTGTGAAGATTACGGGAATTATTACAAGCTATTATCCTACTTTGGTGCTTTGTTTTGCGCTTGCTGAGATTGCGATGCACGTCGTCGGCCTAGGGCAGATTGCAGCCCACTTGGGTGACGACCTTGGCGGCCACGGTGGAGGCCATGCGGATGCACTCGCCCAGCGAGCGCTTCTCCAGCCAGGCGTGCAGGAATCCGGCCACAAAGGCGTCGCCGGCGCCAGTGGCATCCACCAGCTGCTCCACGCGCTGAGCCCGATAGTCTTCGAAGTTTACCGGACCGGGAGCAGCCAGTTCCTCGACGTAGTTGGTGATCACCTGGACGCCGGCACTGCCGTTTGTGACGAAGATGACCTTGGTGCCGGACTGAAGAAGATTCTCCGCCAGTTCGTCGACATTTCGGAATCCTCCAGCAGCCTCGGCCAGCGCCTCGAACTCCTGCCGGTTGCCGAACAGGAAGAAGGCGACGCGGGCCAGCCTCAGCATGGCCTGGGCATTTTGCCGCACAATGTAGGGGGCGCTGAGGTTGAGGGCCAGTCGCCGCCGCTCCCTCACCAGGTGCTGCACTATGTAGTCGCACACCTCCTCCCTGCGCGGCACGAAGAAGCCCTCCACGTACAAGATCTGCTTCCGCTCCACGGGCCGCAAGAAGCCCTGGCCCTCGTGGCTGACGGCGTGGCTCAGCGTCTGCACCTCGAACTGGGCCGAGGCCCCAATGTTGGCGTACAGCGTGGGGTTGTCCTGGTACATGAGGCACACGCACTGCCCGGTGTGCGCCTCCTCGACGGTCTGCAGCCTGGCCTCGATGCCGCGCTCCCGGAAGATCGAGCGGAGCTCCTCGGCGTGCTTGTCAGCTCCGACGGCGCCGAAGAAGAGGGCATCGGTGCCCAGTTGCTTCAGGATGCGGGCTGTGTTGAGGGCTGAGCCACCCGGATTTGTAAGGCACTGCGAGCTGAAAGGGATTTAAATTGGATTATTAAATGTAGCAAGAAGGACAGCTATGGTTTGACATCTTTACTTTGTTACGATCATGATTTTTGATAGTTTAACTTTGTAACATTTCTCATTTGTTGCCTACGCACTTATGACATTCAACATTGTTACTCAAGATATTAAATCATCTCCATCTCCGACTTCCTTAACTTAAGTAAGTCTCTCTCCGCAGAAACAGTTTTCTTGTTACTTGAAAATAGAGTCAGCCAAATAGTCTGTGAGTCAAATATGGTATGCCTAATTGTTTTTTTTTTCTTTTACTTTTATTGTAATTTAGACCTAAACAGAATTTTATTCTTAGCCAGTTACACAATACTATCAAAAGAAGGTTTAGTTAAAACTCGAAATGAAGTAACAGTTGAGGTCAAAACCTTTTTTTGGACCAATGGCATAGAGTCTAGAAAAAGACTGACACTTGTAATAAAAACTTGTCTGATGTAGCTTATCTTATATAAATATCCTAAAGAATATAGTTTATAATTTTTTATTAGCCTAAATTCAAAATCAAAAATCAAAAACTAAGTAAGAGAGAGCAAAATTACATGAAATATTAAAAAACTCTTTTTTTTATATTGATTTGATATTTGTAAAATAAAACTAGTATTGTAAGGGTATTCCCATGAAGATTGACTCTATGATTATAGAAGCTAGACTGAGTGTGTCAAAGATAAGTTACCTCTTGCGTGGTCAAAATAGTGATCTACCCACCTCTCTGAGGCTTCTGCGGCCAACTGGTTGAGCTTCTCCATGTCCAGTTCGCCCTTGGAGCCCAGTTGCAGGCCGAACCGTTCCAGGAGTTTCGGATCCTCGAGTTTGACCAGGCGGTCGAGCAGCACATTGCCAAAGCAGATGACCTTGCGCGGTCTGGAATTGGTGGGAAAGTGGGAAAATGGGAAAGCCCGAAAATCAAAGGGGGTTTCTCGCGAATGAGCTTTTCCGAGCCGAACTACTCACGTGTGGAAAGCCCCTTGCGTGTCGTCGGTGGACGGACTGCCGCCGAACACCATCGCGTACACGTTGCTCAGGAACTCCATTGTATGCAAAAATTAACGCTGATCCGAGATTTTCGCGTTCTATTTGCGAGGTGCGATGTGAACGGAGCCACGGATGGAAACCAAGCGAATATAATGGTCCGCCGCTTTTGTCGTCCGACGGAGAACTGAATGCTCGGGCCGGTTTGCCCCGGTGTTTTTATCTCGCTTTCGCCAGCGTGTTTGTTTTTTCCCATCTAGCCCATTTCGGGCAATTAGTTCGGATCGGGGCAACTTCTTTTTCGCCTTTTTCGCGGCTTACAAAGAGCAACTCTTTGTTGTTTTCCTGCCACTTCTCAGCTCGCTTGTCTGTTTCGACTTTTTCGACTTTTTTGACTTTTTTGACTTTGATTGGGTTTTCAATAACAAAGAGCTTTCGGCACTGCGCTGGCGTCGAAGTTCAGTTTTTCGTTCCTTGCCAGGGAAATTATGTGAGTCAGAACTCAACTCGAAATGCCATCAACTATCCCTAATGACTTTATTGTCTAATTTATGCGACTCAATTGTTAAGCGCATTACATAAATTATCTTTGTAATGTGCCAAGATTTACCAACACTGAATTGTGGATTGAATCAGCTGTTTGTGTGTTTTTGTTTACTCCGAAGAGGAAGCAGCGGGAGCAAGGTGAAAGCTCAACCGGCAAAATGGAGCACATGGGTAGAAAAGCTTCTTCGGCGATAGAGAGAGAGAGAGCATAAGACAGAGAGTGAGCTTAACGGGTGTCGACGGCGTTGCCACTGTTGGCAAATAAAATTAAATGCGTTATGGCAGTTGGATGTTTAAATATGTGCGTACCTTTCAAATGGATGTGCAGTTGTCTTTCTGTTGTGCAAATAAGAAAAATAAAGGTAATTTACAAACATTTTTACAATTTAAAAATAGCTACAGCTTTTAAGAAATTTTTATATAATAAATACATATTTCAAAGATTATTAAAATTTGTTTTTATAAAAAAATGGGTAACGTTATTACGATCTTAATTAGTTTAATTTAATTTTAAAATTTTTATTAAATTTAATTTTATTTAATTGTAAGTCAAAAATAACAATTTCAACTTTTAAGAGAAGGCACTTATACGTTTGTAAAAATATAATAAAATACCTTCAAATATATTCGCTCGCAGTTAAATACTTTCTTTTCTGTTTCTGTGTTGTTGCCAATTATTTTTGGTTCCTCTTTATTTCACAAGGTTCTCAAAACAGGTTTTCCAACGTGTACAAAATTCTGCCATGCAATTATGTACATCTGCCCACAATAAAGCAGCCGTATCATTTCGCCATTATTTGAAATGCACTGTAATAAGTTTCACAACACCATTAAATGCGAGACAAGGCCTCCTGATTTGGGAAGCACCTTTCTTGCTTGCATCCCCCAACGAAGCGATAAGTCTCAATCTCAAACCACTCGAAGAGTAAAACAAAATTAAACAAGAAAGGAAGCAAACCCCGGCAAGCCGAAGTTTCTATACCCTTGCAGCTATTTCAAAAATTAATTATTTTTGAAAACTTTAAAATTATGATTTCCTGCGTATATGTTAAAAAACATTGAAGATATCATGATTTGCAGCTCAATTATTCGATAGTTCCTATGACAGCTATACGATATCGTTTTCCGATTCTGAACTGTCAAATTATTAATAGAAAAGTTAAATTTTTAAAAATGTATTATTCATGTTCATTAGCCATGTCCGTCTGTCTCAGCTGTCTGCATGAAACTTTCCCAAAAGTTGTCTTTCTATTGCTGGTAGTACATGAGTCGGAACGAGCTGAATTTGACGACTATAGCATATAGCTCCCAAAGGATCAATCGGATCGACTTTCCTAGTGATGCTGATCAAGAATGTATATACTTTATAGGGTCGGAAATGTCTCCTTCACTGCGTTGCAAACTTCTGACTGAAATTATACCCTCTGCAAAAACAATAAAACAGTCGCGATATCGCTGCTTGGAGTGGGAAAAACGAGCAGATATGAAAAAAAGTCACTGCTTAATGTACTGGGACTTTTTCGCAGAGAACTCCCATGGATATTGGGGCTTTCCCAAAAGCCAGCGAACAAATGGGAAATCCCCCAGCATAGCTGCACTGCATACATAATTGCACTGCGGAGGCTGCCCGTAAAAGAACTCGTTCCGAAGCGTGATGCTGACTGGTGCACGTGAGATTCGAGGCGCAGGTGACCGGCAATTTTGACTGGCATTGGTGACTGGTTGCAGGTAGAACAGGCTTTGGGCAGACTTTGGACCGACTTTGAATGCCGAATGCGGCTCAGTGCAAACGCTTTTGGGGGAACTCTTGAAACCAGTTCGCACTCTCTTTTGGCTTTGACTCACTTTGGCTCTTTGCTTGCCGTGGGTTTGAGCCCAGTTTAGTGCTGCTCTGCCATGACTCAGTCGATTGACATTCGTTCGCAAGGCGAAGAGCTACAAAAAACACTCTTCCATGCTCCAATCACTCCGTGGACTCAATCATAGTCCCCTAAATCACTCCGTAACAAATGCCAGGCGACAACAATGCCATCACATGTGCCGAGGGCATGTTGCACACACAATGTGGTGGCATGGCGATGGCAGGCAGTGTTGCCCATCAACAACCCGCAAATAAAGCTAAAAATATCCGAATCCATTGTAATGACTATTCGATTGTGACGTCTGGGCTAGCCTAGATGAAAAACTAAAATTTTAAATTCACACGTACGCTGGGGTTTTAGAAAATTGTATATTCCCGTAGATAATTCATGCGAATTCTTCGCTAGAATCACAAGGAAAAATAATTTTATTTTATTGCATATAAGCAAGGGACTCCTTCAATATTAAACTGATTGTTTTCGCTACATATCGCTTATATTGTCTTTTACTATATACTATATACAACAACTGACAAAAAGGCAATCTTACTTAAATTATCTGTAAATGTTTGATTTTAAGGTCTTATTCGTTAACTAAACAAGAAGTAAATGTGGCAATCATTTCTTAAATTCATTTTCTTATTCGAATATTATTTTTTTAAAATATGTCCGTTTCATCCCAAAAATTTAATTTATTAAAAACTTTGTAAATTTATGTATTCTTATAAAACCTTAGATAAATAGCTGGATCTAGCTGAAAAGCCCCCATGTTGTCACCAATAACTCTTCTCAGGTTCACTGTCCACTGTCGAGGCGAATTTGGCGCGCAAATTGTGAACTGAGTCGGCAGTTTCTATTTTTGTTGCACTCCGCAGCCCTTCCCCGGCTGATCCATTTAGGTAAGCGCCGCGTAAGCACGGCAATTGTTTATGATTTCGAAACTACGTAGGTCAGTAATTCGCGGGGGAGTTGGATGAGAAAGAGGACTGCCCCCAGAAGTATTTCATTTTAATCAGCTTATAAGTTGACAGAGTTGTGTCCACGTAAACTGTTTCGGCATTGTTGTTTTGCAACTTTGATTTTGACCAACTCAGATGGTTCTGTTTTTCCAGAAAATTCTTAAACCATTTGCATAATATTGGCAATGTTAGGTGAAATCCAAATACATAGATTGCGAGAAAAGTCTCTGGATGTGGGTAAAATGAGCTTGACTTCATTTAGGTGCTTCATCTATAATATGACAATGGAATATAAATAGATTTATTACGAGATTCAGAGTTGGCAACAAGCGGAACTTTAAGGAAAATCCTACTTTTTATCGGTTTTAAATAAGTATACGCTACCAACGAACTGTTTTTTTCGTCGTAAATCTTATTAAATTACAGCCCCACTTCCCCCAGAAATGTTGTTTTCATTTCGCACTGCACATTCAGCAGTTTGTTCAACTCAACGAAATGTAAACTACAATTAAGACATCTGTAAATATCATATTCCAGGGTCTATTTTTAGCCCAGGTGGTGCGATTCAAAACAAATTGTGAAAACCCTCCGAATTATGCTGGCCCATCAAAACAGAGTTCGGCGATAAAAATACAAAATTAATCATTAAAAAGTGCATTAATGTGCGGTAGTTGAACCCGCCTGGGGAAGTGGCGTGAAAATACCTCGGAATGGCGTAGTTTGCGGGGTTCAATTGATGAAATTCACTCAGCAATCTTGGCTCCCGATTTCGACACGTTCCCACGTGCTGATTTGATTGCCCAGTGTGAAAGGGGGAATTCAAAATTGGAATACTGCGATAAATTGATTAGCAGCCTCCATTGTGTTTGGCCACTCCGGTTTTGTTTGTCCAAGTGTCTGGGCAAAATCCCAAAGCAATGGTTCATTCACTGCCGTTCGTGCGAAGCCAGAACAGAAATAAATAAAATTAACCCGAATCCATTTCGAGTGCGTTAAGTAAGGTCGTTCGTTAATCATACGCCTAGTGTACGTCAAGTATACGTCGAGTATACGCCGCGTTGGTCCCCAAGGTGCTAAAGAGTGGTCCCGGAACCTGTTGATCATCCACTGCTGGCCGATGGCCAACATTATTTAGTGGTCCATTCACTAGATTCTGCCGAAAAAGTCTTCACGAAAATTAAGAAGAACCGTTCAAGTGAAATTGATTGACTTATTTTTGTGCGAAATTTGATGAGCAAAATCGTTTCACTCAAAACTTGTTTGCACATGTTTTTCCACTGAAAGATAAGAAAAAAAACGAAGCTCTTAACTTAAGGGAGGCACTTTCTCGTTTTCGAAATGCGTTTCTGTTTTGGGGAGAGCCCTCTGCTCAGACCCCAAAAACTGCATGGAAAAAACGGCCAACCTGCTAATTGCCTCCAAATCAACGGAAACCTTTGCGGATCCCCAAAAAGTGTCGCCAAAAACCCGATTTGATTTGAGCGCAAAAGGGGCCCGCGAGAGTATGAGCGACCCAGTCGAAAAGCTCTTGCTCTCGCTCTCGCTCTCGATTTCGCTCTCCCTCGCGTTTCTGATGAAATTCAGTAGAATTCTCAGGCGGCGGAGAGCGCGGCTATAAAAGCGCTCGCTCACCCACTGAGGGCATTCATTGTGAAATTGAAACTCAAAATTGAAACAACGCGGACACACACGGTTGAAACGCAGAGCCCAGTGCGAAAAGAATTTCATAATCAAAAGTTAATCGAGTGCCATACAGAAACCCCACTCGAAAACCCCACGCCAAAAACAGTGCAAGCCCAGAGTGCTAAACAAGTGGAAGCCAACGGCTTGAAAATTACCCCAAACCCATCAAAACCAAAACAAACGGATTACACTAGCAACATGGTCGTCGAGGAGACCTGCACCATGCACCTGAACATGAACATGAACATGCCCATGCCCATGGATATGGATTTGGAGCTGGAGCTGGACATCGATCTGGCCATGGAGTGCGCGCCCATCGGACGCACCGTGAAGTCGGCCCTGATGAGGGCCCAGAGCGAGGCCCGGGTGATCGTGGGCCTGTCCGCCGCCATCAACGTGCTCTCCAAGTCGCCGGAGGGATCGCTCTTTTGCCTGATGGCCCAGCCCAAGGACGGCGACTCCGCCACCCACATGCACGAGGTGCTGCTGGAGGCCTTCTGCTACGAGAACGACATCTATGTGATCAAGGTGGACGACGCCACCAAACTGAGCCGCATCCTCGGCCAGGACTCGGTGGAGTCCTGCTGCCTGGTGCAGAAGGTCTGGGCCGACGCGCCCGAGGAGCAGCTGACCAAGGCCGAGAACCAGCTGGTCGACTACTGCGAGGCCCACTGGGATGCCCCCCAGCAGCCCATCGTCCAGCTGCCGGCTGTGTAGGCCGCCCAAGTATGCCACCGAATTGAACAGGCCCCGCGGACAGTGGGCCACACCAGGTTTAAAGCGCATAAAAATCAGGGAGAACCAGTTGCTGGGGTTGATGTCCCCGAACGTCTTGGAGAGTTCCCGAGGGAATCCGGCGTGTCGGGGCGCTTCCAGAGCCCACCGGTCGCATGAGTAGGATATGTAGTATACGATATATATACAATATATTATATACCCTAACTAACTGTATACTGAGGAGAGATTGATAAGCCGGCGCCTTGGCGAATAATTGAAACTGAAAGGCGACCTTCGTGGAGCAGCAGAACCTGCAGTTGCGATCGCGATACCCGCGGAAGTCGCACACAGATACGCACTCTCACACCCACGGGCAGCATCACACACACACACTCGCAGCCAGGAGCTCGTGACCAGCTGCCAAACGATGCATATACCCACATACATACATATAGCCAATTTGTTTCTGTATAATTTTGTCGCTTTAAGCGTCGCGCAAATTTACTGATAATGACAATTATTCTGTACGCCGTAAATTGTAAATTACACTTATAAAGGAGAGCAGCAAATTGCATGTAAAAATTAAAGTTTTGTTATGTTAGCTTTTCCCCTACAAAGATAGGAAGTAATACACACACAAAAATGTTATTTAATTTTAAGCAACAAAATTAAATTCAAAAGATTTTTAAAGAAAAACAACAAAATAAAAAAATATATACAAAGAAAAAGAAACTTTCTCTGCCTTGTTATTTATCCAGCCATTTCAGCAATCTCTTCCAGCAATTGAAGCCATCGCCTGACGTCAATGGGTGCAAATCCCTTGGATATGGAACGACTCATCAATCTTTGCATAACTTGCCGGGGTTTCCCCATCGAGCGTGCCATGCATACAGAGCTCTCGTTGGGGCCTCTTATCAACGGAATTCTCGGAACCCCGTCGAATGTGAGCCACGCATAAACACTGAAATCGAGGGCAGCAATCGACTGGGAGATGCCCCAAGAAGAATCAGAGTGATTCGAACAGTTTTATGCATTTTTTAGGCAATCCCGTGGTCTAGCCATAACTGGTGTGAAAAGCCTCAGTTTACCGAATTAATTGCCACAATCACTGATCAGTGCGAAATTAAGTCAAATTATAGGTCATGCTTATACCCAGAATAATTAAAACACTGTGAAGTACTCGACAGTGGTGAAATTTGTTAATCACTCTAGTAGGTGTTGCATAAATCGGTCTGCAATCGTAAATCACCATTTTAATAGCACGTAATGGATGTTTCAGCTCTGATTTCGTACAAGACCCACATTGTTTTGTTCACGCCCATGCCCTTTGTGGGTATCGAATGGCAACACGTCCACGATCATGGCAATTGACTTAACTAAACAGACAGAGACATGTTAATATAATCAATGCCAGACATCGCCAATGTTTGCCTAATGGATGGACCGAGCCAGAAGAGACAATAGATAGCTCAGCAGCTGGGAGGAAAAAGCATGTGAGTAGCTCGTGCCGTGGGAAAATCACCGGGAAAAAGTTTTCCGCTGATCATGACTATTAGTATTGGATTTATGCGTTCAGTTAGGCAGGAATGTCTGGACACGATTCAATTGGGATGGAAGGATGGTTAACACACATTAAGACAAACCTTCCCTTTAGGTCCAACAAGCATTTTAAGTTTGCTTAATTTATTGTGAGGAAAAATATTAATTTGAATTCATAAACTATTTTTCAACACTTCATTTAATAAAATAAATAAAATAAAATACTGAAGAATAAGTGGTTTTTGATTTTTGTCATCCCAATGATTATAATGCACAGTCTTATGAACTGGTTAAAATTGCTTGGGGATTGCACAGTAAACAAAATGTATCGGTTTAAAGCGGTTTCAGTTTCAGATTCAGATCCAGATGCCCTTATAATTATCACCCAAACTATTGTCCCAGATCATTAGAACAAACGGGTGTGATATTCGCTTGGATCACTTGGATCAATTAGTTTGTTTAGCCAGCGTTTGGCACAATCCAGGTGATCTGTGGCCGCGCTTACACAAGTGATCCCCACTTAATCATCGCTGTGTCTGTGTGTGTATCTGTACTTTACCCGGCGACTCGGATCAAGCGTGAATTCCAAAGAACGGGCCGCTTTCAGTTCGGCCAAGTCATTCCGCGTTGAGTAATAAGCCATGCGGCCATTGACTGAACAATTGAAGCCGGCTCTCGACCTAGCTTTCCCCGCAAACCGGAGAAGGCGGAGTGGAGTTTTGGACTCCCCGACATGCAGCCATATATATGTATGTATATATTATATTGATATTTGCCCATTTGCGGAACCGCGCCAAGAGCGTGACTTGGCGGGATTCCGAAGGCGGACGGGACTGCGCAGAGTGCAAACTTCAGAGATTCATCTGCGGCGGCGATGTCGTCGAAGGTGAATGTGATTCATGTCGAGCGGTGCGGTGCTAGCCCGGTCAGTTGGAAATTAGCATAATTCTCAATGCGAAGCGTACGTCAAATGGCCGCTCGGAATACCCCTAGATACAGCCCCCAATCGACTTACAACCTGTTGGCAAACTAGTTTCGGATTCGTGCGACAAAGTCGAAGTTTTCTCAGCTGTACCGTTCCCGTACATGTGATTGTCACGAGCGCCCTGCGTTTTTCTTTGTGGTAAATCGATTTTAATTGGAGTACTCGCCCCAGATCGAAGGCAAACATGTTGTCTTTGGCTGAATTCGAAAATACAAAATATTGTTATTATTATTTACGCGGTAGCTGCCATTCAAAAGAACATTAAACTGCGCGGATTTCCCCCGTAAGCTGTGTGGTCATACGGAATCCCAGCTGCTTATCACTGCTCCGAGTTCCAATCCGAGGGCGGATTATGCGGCGTAGAATAATCAGTCTGGACTTACGCAGAACAGTACTGCGCATGGGGCTTAACGATACAAAAAAATACATGGCCACTCAGGCAGTGGAAATCTCCAGTCCACCACAGATAAACATCCTGGATTTCCATCATTTTGGCTGTAATCAAATCGAATCGAACCATATTTGTTTACCAAAATCACTTTGCCCCAAAAGCATTGAACTTTTCCACAGTCTGTGATTAGATTGATTACGACGATTCCCTGAGAAAATCAGGGCTTGCCGGCTTATGAATGAATTTTGCCGCTGAAAAACGTGTTTTCAATGGGGAAATTTTACAAATTTGCCCCGCTGGGTGCTGGGGATATACCAGTGCCAGCGAGGTAAACAAACAGGCGTGTAAATAAAAACTTTAGCCACCCACTTTAAGCATTTAATGATTATTATTGCTTAATATTTGCCCTGAAGTCTCTGGGAGAATATTAAGCATGATTCCGCAAAATGTAGCTTTTGTGAGTTTGGTGGGCTGATAAGAAGGTGAAGATTGTGTAGCCCCGTTTCCGAGACTCTAACAATTTTGAGTAATTGAATTTGCCTGGATTTTAATATTTACTTTTTCCCAGAAGCACGTGCCCTCCAAGTGAGATTATGGTCGCGTTCCAAAGAAAGCAGTTTGCAGCTTCGCAAATAAAGAAATAAAATTAAAGCCTGGTATTTTCGATTGTATTCCCTAGAATCTCATTGTAATTAAGAGTGGCGATTTCTGAATAATCTGTGCTTAGTTTCAAAACCAAAGCTTCGGTTCAAGCGACCCATTAAATGTCCAGCGGTCAGACGGTTATTTCACACTTGAACCGGTTCGGTCTGGTTTCTCACATGTGATCAGCAGGAGCAGATCGCACATTTCGGTGGGAAAACTAATCGGAAAGGCAAACATAGTTCCATATAACAGTTAAATAAGGCTGCGGTAAAACGCAATTGCACTTCCCGATACGCCACACCCTCATTAACCCCCGCCCCCGACGTTGGGTTAAATATTTGCACAAACAAGTTCGTGCGAAATTAGCGCCACAATTATAATTGAGGGCGAAAAAGTATAGACAGGTACGGTCGAACTCCAATATTTAATTGCTGTTTATCGCGGCCATAAAATAAATTTGATAGCGCTCCCAATGAAAACCCGCTCCCTTTATAGAGCTCTATCTTCTACCTCTTTCGCACGCTGAGTAGCTCTCTCTCTCTTTCTCTGACTCTTTATGGTAGTAAATTAACGTGGGTTCGTTGAATTTCACAAGAACGCAGACCGTTGTGATTTCTCTCTTTCTTACACAGATAAAAACTCAAGCTTTTTTCAGTTTCCCAAACATTTATTTCTCCCCATCAATATTTATTTATCAAAAAATTTGTGATCTGAATTCCAAGGCAGATTGCAAGGTCAAATTGTGTCTTGTATCAGCACTAGATATCAAAATATTAGATATATTGATTATCACATATTATAATACAAAAATAAATCGACTTTTTTATTTAGTTACAATAGATGTATTAGGTACTTATTGGCGATCAGTTAAGCGGAAAGTTCCTAAAATCAAAATAGAATAATATCAGAAAAATATTACATTCAACACCTAATTTCTTTTATCCTGTATTGGCGCTATAAATCTAAACATATGAAAAAAATCAAATTTGTTTACTTATTAGTTACAATGGATTTGAAAAGGTACATATAAGATCTAACTACGTCAATCAGTTAAATGAGAAATCAGAAAAATAACACGTTGAACTCCATAATTTTAAAACAAATAAACAATGCACCTAAAATAAAATACAAATATAAATCGATTAGTCTTATTCTTTGGTAAAAACTTTTTATGAGTTAACTGGTAAGCTGCTGAAATCTAAACTGAAACTAAATTTTAAATAAATAAGTAAAGGCCTTAAAATACCCCTGTTATAGTTTCATAGACAAGCACTCCATATTAAATTAGTGTATACTCGACTTCACTTCATTGCTTTTGTTTCATAAACTGCATATTTTCCAGTGTATTATCTCTCTCGAAAGCGTGCCGAATGAAACTGATTAGATTAATTGCGGGGGATCTCGGACCGAGTGACTGATTGGGGGCCAAGGGCACCTGGCGGTTCGCCCGTCGACATGCTCGAGCACGTTTCGGTTCGATGAGACTGCCATACGGTTTCAGCGCATTCCTGGCGAGCTTTGGGTCCACTTGCCCTCCGCCTCCATCTCCATCTCCATCTCACCTGCTTACGCAAGTCGTGCGGCAATCCGCCGCTCAGCGTGTCGCCAGTACCGTTATTGTGCCAGAACGCCGATTCAGCACCCATTCACCCAAACAACCAACCACCTACCCTACCAGCCACCCACCACCCACCGCCCATCGAACAGCTGCGACAACTGCGTCAATGTCGTAAAACTTTCTCACGTAAGTCAAAAGGCGAGAGTCCCGCTATCTTGTCAGCCGAATCTCGGCTTATCCTTTGTGGCAATTGCAGCTCAGCCCCAAAACAGCGATATATACCGATACGCAGTGTATAAATACGAATTTATGGCGGCGTAAAAAATGATTTTTAACGATCGCCAGTGGGCGTAATGAAGTTATCGCATGATCG